TTCACTCAGAGAAAGAATGAAGAGGATTATGATAAATCGAAATCATTCCACATATTGAATTGTAAATCATTGGAATCCATTCAAATTGGAGAATATAGTTTCAGTGATTTTGCTGGCGACTTTGAATTGAAGAATCTACCACAATTACAATCCATTCAAATTGGTATAATTGGAAAATGCTCAGACAATTTCAGTTATAGTTCCTTTGTGATCCGAGGTATTGATATGATATTGAATATTTGAATGATGCATAGATCTTCCAAATCTACAATCCATTACATTAGGTGATGTTGCATTCAGTAATTTCTTATCGACAATAATTGAAAGTATTGAACGAATTTGAATAAAATGATTGATGTAGATCTTCCATCATTACAATCCATTCAACTTGGTTGGCTTGCACTTGGTGGAAAATGGGATGAATCCTGTTTTTTGACACTTCGAAGTAATAATGAATTGATTGGTTATGATTTGTTTTGTAGATCTTCCAAATCTAACATCCATCAATGCTGAAGAGTATAGTTTCTATAATCCTCGTGTAGTGACATTGGAAAGTATTTCTGAATAATGAATATTAATAGTATTTAGATATTCCAAATCTTCAAAATGTCAAACTACCTAATTCATTCAAGGAAGTTCGATGGAAATCAATTTCGAGTATAGTTTGATTGATTTGATTTGATTCCTAGATGTTTCTTCCATTCTCGCTGATCTTGTAAATCAAATCACTGATTCAGATTCTTATTCTGAATAAATAAAGTGATAATATGCAGTTTTTTTGATGATTGCATTTTCAATTGTTTGTTTGTTTGTATGTTTCAAACTCGTTACAACCATTCTCTGGTTTTTGACTTAGGATTCATTCATCGATTGACTCTTTTCCATCATTACAACATTGATTGATTTGACTAACATATTTTAATTCTTTGTGTAATCGATAATGAAAATGAAATAGAACTGTTGGGAAAACAAAAAGCTAAATGGATACGAATAGGTTTGATCCAATATTCAAAATAGAAAAATGTTTTACGAAACTGATTACTTAGACGATTCTGAACAATTGAACAAATCCTATCAACAGGACAGTCACATAGAGTATTGAGATTGACTTGGTTATTTAAGAACGGAAATGAATGTCAATAGAATTTGTTGTTTCGATTTGATTTGTGTATATTGAATGAGAATAACCTACTATTACTAAAAATGAAAGATAATGGAATTGTCTTGAATTGAAATGTGAAACGAATTGTTCAATAGTTTTCGTATTAACAATATATAACTAAATTGAATAGTTTGAAAACGATAGAACAGAATTGTGTAACGGAAAAAATTAGTAAACTGAGAATAGAGAGTTTCAATCAATTGATTTTGTAAATGATGAGATTTTGAATTTGCTTTTGCCTTTGTGCTTTGCAATTATTCATCACAATTCCATTTTCAAATTCACATATTCATCAAAGACTGTATTCCATTATTGTATTGAGAATGAAAGTGTGTGTGTTTGTTGTTTCATCTCAAACCTATTATCATCAATTCACACATAGATATCACTGTACTATTTTTATCATTGATTTGATCACATCCATTGAGTTCATTGTTTCCGATAAATACTCATTTCTTATTCTATACTACTATTATTTACACTCTATCTATTGAATAATATCCATTTTCACTTAATAGATCAATCAACGAATCTTGTTTGTCATAATTACACTCTATGTGTTATCTTTCATTCCATTCGTTCATGGTGAATTGAATATCCAACAAATGACTCTTCTATTCAAACAATCATTCACAGTTGTTAGTCTTTTACAAACATTCAAGTACAGTTATCAATATTACATGATTTCTGTTGAAATGTTATGTAGAATCTGTTTGTTTATCAAACCCATTGTTTTGATAATAGTTCTTTGATTCAACTCCATAATATTACGAATTAACTAACAATTCCTTATTTCTTTTGTGATTATTCCAATCCTTCTCTATCACTAATCATTGAAACTTAGTCATATTTCTTGAAATGCTGAAGTCCAAAGTTTATTCATAAATGATAAATCTCCTCATATTGATCTGATGCATATTATTCAGATTTAACTCTACTTAAGAAGCATTTAGAATTCATGGTCAGGATCTCTTCATTTCACAACTTTCAGCACTATGAACGATCAATGTTTGCTCAACGATTGTTTTTCCTAGATTCCTTTTCACATTCCCATACTTCAATTAGCTGCAAACGATATAAAACCATAAATTCCAGAAAATATTCTGTCTTTTGACTATTACCACTCAAATACAATCCATTCTTCTCACATATCCAACACACCACATATCATTCATCCTTCAAGTCCTTCAACTATCTCTTGTATTTCAACAAACAATAACACTTCTCACACATACGCAGCAGAAATGGGAGGCAGAGCTTCCCGAATACACGATCCATACCCCTCTTTATCCTCAAAAATCTCCAATTTCTTTGTTTGTTCGGCCACCTCCGTACTCACCGAATAATATGAATCAAAACAGCCACTGATATCCGTGAATCCATCCTTCAAGAACTTGCTTTCGCCACTCTTCGTCTCCGCGTACACCTTCACATAGCAGCACGGAATGCCCACATGTGTCTTCTTATCCATCACTCGCAGCTGTCCAGACTTCACAGACAGCGCCACGAGCAGCGAATTGTTCAGCGAATAGCAGGCTTCGCGCAGCGTTCCGTTCCGTTCCGTTCCGCACTTCCACCAAAACGTTCTTCTCCTGGTATTCTTTCGGAAGCGTGTAGCAAAATTCGCCCACGCCATCGACTTCAGGAGGCAGCTGGACATGCTACGTGTAGTTAGGACGAATGAAGAGCGACGAAGACTTGTTGAACACGAAGGGATTCAGACTGAAGAGCAACTCCACATCCAGCTCGTAGAGATTGATGTCTGCCTCGCGTAGATTGTAGTAGTGCAGCGTAATCACCTGATTCGTGGATGACACTTCGAGTGAACTGTCCATATTCATTTGCGATCGTTTCGATTTGAATTCATCGCGAGCAAGGTCCGATTCGTCCCTGATTTCGAAGGTCTTCTCGACATCCATTGTTCCATCCACGCTCTTTACCATCGAAGAAATGTTGCTGAATAGATTTCGCCAGTACAGAACTGGATAGGACTCATAGCGAGCACAGATCTCGCGAGCCTGCGTCAAACTCTCCGTGAAACAATCGAAATACGCGATCATATAATCGACCTGGACGTTGCAAACACAGTCTGCGCGCGAAACAAAGCGGCCTTCTCGCTCTTCACAGACAAACTGTTTAAACACAGAAAGGGCGGTCATCACACGATCCTGAAGAATCAAATAATACACCAACAACGCGTAATCATTGCATGTGGGCTTCTTTTGCATCAGATACTTCAAGAAAAGCTCGTATTGCTTCTTTAGCTTGTCGTTCGGAATGTTCATGCTCTCTCCTAAGCGGAAACAGCGATTATTCACGTAGGGTTTGTACTCGCGAATATTGAAGAGTCCCTCAGCCGCTGAATCGATCATGAGCATCGGCGAAGAGAATGCCAGTCCAACACGCTTCCTCATTCTCATTCCCACAAGATCCTTCGTGGACTGCAGATCGCGGTGTTTCACTCCGAACTTCCAGATATCCTCGTTATAGAATCGAATTCGACGCAACTCAGCAACCAGCTTCGTAAAGAACGAAGCATTGGACAGTCTGCCCAGCACATACTTCCATTCCAGCTCCTGCACATCATGTGATCGAATGGAATCAAACAGAACGTCCTCCGAAGCGTTGAGCGCCACATCTTTCCACGAAGTGACATCCAGCGTCTTCGCCTCCTTCACGCAGTGGAGCGTCGTAAAGGAAGGAGAAGCGACAGCGAGGATGGTCGCCTTCGTTGAATCGATGATGTGCGCTGGAAGATGCTCAAAGTCTCCCACCTTCGGGAAATAGAACGAATAACTCAACGTGCAGGTGCTGAAGGCATCGATAGTCTTCACCTCGTTCACCAAAGACTTGAGATTGGATAGAGGGTACGATCCCCGCGGAATCTGATACATGACCTCCATGACTTGCTGGATGGGCGCCACATTCGTAATGACAATCATGCAGGTGTACGAAACTCCCGCGACGAACTCGTTGGTTTCCTTGAAACGCTCCACTTTCTTCCCGTTCACTGTCTTCCAGTGATTGCTGTTATCGATGTACTTGGTCAGCACCATGAGAGGACAATCTGCAGGCTTTGTTCCCTCCTTCAGCATTTTGTGGAATACGAACACGGGCGAGTTCGTGACTAACTGCGATTTCTGTAGGTGATAGGCGGCTTCTTCACTCTGAATCCCCAGCACAGACAGGCAGAATAATACTTCCGAAACAGAGTGAGTGCAGAGAATGAAGTCTTTGGAGAGGAAGGGACAAGACGAGCCGCTGCGCAAATGATGGGCAAAGGAAGCCCAAAACGCTGAATTGGGAACAAGACTCACAGGAGAAAACATTTCAGTGCTTTGGTAATAGTATCCCTCTTGATACTCCTTCGTTTTCTCTAATCGTTCGTAGTGATGTTCTACACTCTTCTTCTTTTTGTAAGTGTCAATGTCTTCCATTCGATCAGCCGACTGAGCAATGAATCGATGAGATGGCATGGCATCCATTCGACGCATTCGTGAAACGGCCATCGGGGGAGGTGTTGGCATAGAACAATAATTGACTGCATCAGATATACACTCAGAGTCCATGCTTTCATCACTAGGTACAAATTCCATCATTCTTGGTTGATCGAAATCAATAGATCTTATACATGTCATTGGTGGAATAGCTCCATTAAGCATTGGCTTTGGTCAACATAACTCTTCCATAGGACGAAGAATAAAGTCACTTAGAACTTCTTTTTCTACCTCAAGTGGAAGCACAGAAGGCGGCGCATTCAAACTCTTCAGATTCATCGCACTTTGGAAAATGGAGGCGAACACAAAGCGAGAAAGAGGATTGTGCACAGCATAATTCTTTATCCCAAGTTCGATTGCTGCACCTTTTCCTCGGACATTAAACTGGCTCGCAAAGCGTGCTCAAAAGCATTCAGACGCTCAAAGAATTGGGGTTGAAGGAAGCGAGACACATCGCCCCCAGTAAGCCACACATCCAAAAATGATTTCTCGACCTTCAATTGCAGAGAAGAAGCGAGATATGCGTCAAAGAAGGGACGGTCACGGAAATAGATGAAGACATTCACTTCCGAGCAGTTGTACTTGTTGTACAATCGCATCTTTTCCTTTTCGTTCATTCTGTCCCACGAAAGAAGGAACGAGAATTGTTGTAGCCTTGAATCGTCCAACAACACCTTTAAAAGCAGCCATACATCCTCTAGAGACGCCAACACTTGCATCTCTGACTTGCTATCAATCGACAACGGTTCCTCCGCTGTTACTACCGATATCCGCTTCTCTTCCGTGTAATTCTTCGAGGGATCCAGCGATTCCTCCAGCTCTTGCTGCTGAACCATCAGTGAAACACGGTCATCCTCGCTCCCAGAATAGAACAACACGGTGTCCAAGAAACGGCCTTCATCCACTGCAACCACTTCAACCTCGCATCCATTCTCCTTGTAATCACTCAGATCGATTTCTGCTTTTCCATCTACCATTTGGATGTTCGGCAGCAAACGAGAAGACACATGGATTGTCTCACGACTATCGCGCTGTTTCATATCCTTCGGAGCAACATCCAACTCATCTCGTGTCTTGGAAACGCAGGCTCCTGGACGTTCTTCATGCTTTTCTGCAAAGTTCGTTCCAGCCAATGCCTCCTTCGCTTTCGTCGTCGTTTCATCCACTTTGATCGGATTCATCAGCAATCCAGGAGGAGGCAGCATGTTGCCAGGCAGCGTTCGATTCGCTCGCTTTCGTCCCTGGATGTAGTCGTACTCTTCTGGAAGTTTACAATCATTCACGATAAGAGAAGAAACGGGATCTAGCTTATTTCGCGCATAGGAAGGATTGTTCAGATCTCGGATGTGATTGCCAAGCATCAAACTCTCGTAGAACGACTTGAGCAACACATGAACGTGTGCAGATGGTGTGGCTCCATAAAGCTGGATCGTAAGATGCTGATCGTTCGGCGTGCAAATCATTGAAATGGGGGCATTGCTCAGTTGTCGAGCCCAGGAGCCAAAGAACGCATAATGCTCAGTAATGTTCATCTTGGAAGCATGATAAACGCTAATTCGAATCATGTACAAGGTTCCATTCCTATCTCGAACATACAACACATATTTTCCAGGCTTCAGATTGTGAATCAAAACATAGCCATCGACCCTTGCCAAACAAGATTGCAAGGATTCAATTTCGTCCTCGCTCTTCCTGATACGAAATTGAGTAAAACATTCGAGTGTAACTGTGGAAGTAGTATTGAAATCGTATCCGAATCATTCACATCGGCTGGTACAACTCTGAAACAAGCAATCACACTTATTGCCAGTAAATCATATTTGATTACGATTGATACGGTGATTTCATGTTCGAACTAAAAACAGGTGCTAATGGGATTCACAAGCACGCCGAAATTAGTAATCGGTGCAGACACGGCACGTATTATCAACATTCCAATGAACAATTTCGTGCCTACCACACTTGTGAGTGGTTCGTCCGTGATTACACCGACAAAGACGAATGCACAGACGATTTAAGTGGTTAGTAGTGTCGCCACTATGATCACACATTACTTTACAGGATTGAAGGTGAGCGTGGTTGAACTGTAAGAGAGGGAATCAAGACCAAAGTGAAGGGCAAGCCCGCCAATTCACTTTGGCAAGCGCACATGGAACTTGTTGACCTTGTCCTTTTTGTCCTCTCAGAAAATCAAAGATTTCCCCTTCTCTAACCCCTTTATTTATCCTCTAATGAACTCTTCAATTTTGGTATGACCAAAGACCATACCGTAGAATATTAATACGATGGTTCCAATGAGCGGACAGACACAATGACCATCGATGTTGTACCTGTCGACTCCGTAAGGATCCATTGAATACAAGAGCAAGTGCTATACTTCGTAGCTATATTGTTCACAGATGGTTTGAAGTATGTGCTTAAAGTCGGCTAAGTAAAACGAGACTGATAGAGGCATGTTTTCAAAGTCTTTTAACATTCCCGTATCTGGATCATCGACGAACGAGTTAATCATGTCGAATATGTATCGCCAGGCAATTTCACGTCGTTTTTCAGTCATCCAGTAGTTCATTTCTATTTATGAATCCATTATTTCACTTTAATCTCTGTTGGACTGATTGTGATGTCACTACCACTATCATTTTCGGATTTATTCTTTTCGTTGTAAACACATAGACAGCTACAGCGATCTTTGCATTTCGAGTCTAGCACCAGTTTGTGGTTCTTCCTCTTACTCATCCATTTCCATATCCCTTTCAACCATTGAATAAAGCGGTTCATTTATGAATGAGATCAAGGAACTATGGAAACCAGCAAAACGAAGAGGTGCCATTCGAGTGATCATCAGTGGATTCAAACGAAACATATACTTCATCGATCTCATCGATTTCTCTTCCAAACAACACAAATCCATACAGGAAGTATTAGGAACACAATAGAGTACTGGATTCTACAAGAATTGTGGATACAAGTATGTCCTTGAATGTATTGATGGATATTCGAAATACCTGATGACTCAGAAACTGAAGAGCAAGAGTGCTACAGAAGTCACTCATGCAATGAAGGATATCATTCAGACATATGGTGAATCACCAAAGCATAGTTGCTCGGATCGAGGTACCGAGTTCACCAATGCGATCTTTCGTATCAACATCTTGAACAAGTATGATATCACCATTTATAACATGGATTCAGCGAATAAGGCAGTACTAGCTGAACGAGCAATTCGAGATATCAAGGAACACATCATGGTTCCATTCAATCAATCGAAAGGTGTATGGTTTGATTTGATCGATGGTGCAGTTCGTAGACACAATGGAAGGAAGAACAGAGACATCGGATATACACCCAATGACATTTGGCTTGACAACAACAACAACGATATCTTGTACATGGAGAAAACAGAACCATCCAACATGACAGCAAAGGACACAACACCTCAATTCGATGTTGGTGATTATGTTGGAGTGACACGAAGACCTCGCATTTTGGAAAAGCGATCATTGACGAGCAAATGGTCTCAGGACTTGATTGAAGTTGTTGACATTGACGATCACATCATGCCATTGATGTACGAAGTGAAGAATGTGGAAAGCAATAGTACACAGAAGTGTTATCACTGGGAACTGCTGGCAAGCAAATGCAAACCACAACCAGCACCGCCTGTCACTCAATCCAAGAGTTGTAAGGAACCTAATGCATTGAGAGAGGCAGCAAGATCACATCGACCCATTACGAGCACCCGAAGAAGAAACAACAACCTCGCCCAACTGTTTGAAAACAATCGTGATGCTCTTCACACCTCCCAGACATACAAGAGAAGGGATATTCGTGAATACAGAGATCATATGACTCTTACTTGTCCAATCTATTCCATTTATCAGTTTTGTATGGTAAAGGGTCACAAGATTGTTGAGTATATCGATGAATGGCATATCGATCAATCACACACCATCCATTGAAACACTCACCTTGTATCCCTTATCCACAACCGATTCGATGGAATCACAATGTTTGAATAGGTTATCATTCTCATTGTAACATGGAATCGATGTGATTATGAGATATAAAGCAGAAGATAATTCGAATTGGCATTGATTATTGAATGGTTGAGTGGATATGTGTGTATGCTCAAACATTATGGCATTATTGATTATCACAAAACACTCAGAAGGTATCGTCCATGAATATTGATGAACGCCATCCACTGTCTCACGCATGAGGACATGTTTGCCATCGTTCTCGGGCATATTGATAAGCATGTTATCGAGCTTTTTGAACGTGTAATTGTTTGGATTGCTGCTGAAGATGTACGACATTGATTCATTCAATTTACTTTGGTTGAATTCGTTCATAGGGTTTGACATACACACCCTTCAAACAAGCTCCATTCATATTCGAATATGTGAACCTGTTGAATGAGAAAAGAGCCAAATTCATCACTACTGTGGAGAAGAACCTATACAAGTTATTGGCATACTCGACACATGGCAAATATGTGGAGACTAAATTGAAACGAATGAAATAGAAGTTCGTCACCACATTGATCGTGTCCATATTATTGAACATGACTTGATTGGGTTTGAATAGAACAGTCATGGACGTGATGTAAGGATCCTTCAACTTGCAAGGATTGATTGAATCGAATGAACCATTACTAGGTGAACCTTGTATGAGCATGGAGTAATGCATGGGTAATCTCTATTTCACAAAGGATGGGACGCGAGGTGATAAATGGTGTGATGTGAATAAGCCTATTTTTCGACCTCATTCTTATGAAGAACATAAATACAAGTTGCCACTATGAGCAACAAGAAACACTCGTTGCCAGGGATTGAAGGGCGACTTTGATTGGAATCATATTCGCACTTTCATTGTAAATTACAAACTACTAGCACAACTTCAGTAAGGTATTCAAGAAGATAGATAGATAGATAGATATCAATGTCTATCTTCTATCTATATATCTGAAAAGTAATAGTTTGATTGTTGCCTCCAACAAATAATCAGCCAGATATGTCTCACAGCTTGATATTGGACAACTACTCATTCCCATAGAGTCCATTCTTATGGATTTCAGCTTTATCATCAACAATACTGATATCACTATTAGTGAGTAATTCTATTCATCCTAATGAGTTGGGAACCAAAGCATTTCACTTTCATCAACCAACTCAAACAGCAAGTATTATGTATACTATTGTTATTCATGCTCGTAATAGAACAACATTGTGAATCACTTTGTATCCCTATTGAAGTGGTGTACAATTCGATCCTTCCTTTAAATAGGAGATATTCTGCATTATTTGGCAGGTGGGGGATACTATATGGGTTAGAATAAGGGATAGTATCCTCTGGCAATATAACAATCTCTGATAGGTTCAGAGTGCATCAAAACGACAAAAACTGGACACCAACTATCGAAAAACCTAGAAACAGTGGAATATGAATATATCTCTATTTGTTCGTATAAAATATATTATGTATTCTACCTTATTTTGCTCAGTTCTTCAACGACACACCCACCTTTCTCACAAACTCTACTATTCGATTCTACTATACACATATCACATATTATTACTATAAATGATAACCCCAAAAACTGCTTATCGCTAGCTTTTCCATTTTCATTCCTATCATCATCTTCTACATACCCTATTTCTTTCTATCCCATCTATATAAAATTCCAAATGAATAGAACGAAAAACAAAACGCTTCCACTGGAAACAACACTCTTCGATCTATTCATTCCACAATATCCCATTTCCGCTCATCTCCTTCCACTTCACAGTAAAAACAACTCCCTCCCTATTCGAAATCTATTCTTCCACTCATACCCAATTTCAACACTATTTTCACAATTGCACAATTCCTGTCTATTTTTGAAATCATTTTTTTACAATCAAAGCTATTAGCTTCGTCTTACTGGGTTTGAATGTATTCCAAAATTTGGAATTGGACTTGTATGTCCTGTCTTTTGTTTTGTTTTCGGACTTCTATGTGTTTTTGTGTGTTGTGTTGTGGGAGTGTAAGTATTGTAGCTGGGATGGGTTCTGTCGTCAAGTTGGTGTGTTTGAAGAAGCTATTGTAGTCTGCGCTATCGTTACTTTGACTAAACTGTGTGTGTGAGATATGCATCGTGAACGCATTCAATACCATAATGGCGGTGGACCCTGGTTCCATTTTTGCTGTGTGGAGTGTGTTCCGAGTGAGTAATTTCTGTACTTCAAACTGTGCAACGTGGCGAACCCATTCATGCCATGTGGGACCGCGGATACATGGAGATAACTTGCAACGTGGGAGGTATCTGGTACAGGCACGACGTTCTTGCCTAGGATAGCTGTTCTGTTTCTCGTATTTTCATTTTCATATTGTGAGGTGGTAGAGTGTGGTAGAGAGAACGGATTTGCGATGAATGAAAGGGCAAACTATGGGAGGAAGAGCTGTAGGTTTGTAGAAGCGGAGCGTGTGTGGAACTTGGGAGAATGGGACAAGAAGGCGGAGTATGCGAACTGCTGTGGGGACGGTCCTCGCC